TCTGAGTGACACATAGGAGCCTTTTGGATTACTATATTTAAAAAGGAAAGTGAAGGCGAACACATGAGCAAATCATTTCCCAAAAATGAAAAAGAAATGAGGAGTGCCTTATTTGCATAATTTACTGAGCAAGCTACATCCTGGTTCAGGAAGGATGATGCCACAATACGAATGGACATTTCACCACATGTACTGGATGTACTTGTACCGTTCATGCCGCAGTGACTCCAGTCGCCAACAGAGTGAATAAGTCAATCTGCACCTTTATCTGAATACTTACCAGCATTTTTGTTCTTTCCTGACCAACACAATTTTTATAAGGCATCTGCCCAATCGGGCAAGTGCCCAGTTTTGATGGAATGCCTATATCTGATGTTTTTTTTCTCCGCCTATTTCTATGTGCATTTCAAGTGACACATCTGACAGTGTACTTTGATGGATCACATGAAACAACCCACACGTGCAGATGATCAAATTACACATGCTGTAACTAACTTCACACTAAGCAGTGACAATACAGAAGTAAACAGTAATATATAGGTGATACAAATATTAAGGGAGAAATATATATGTATTTTTTTAATAGATCAATGTGGGAAAGAAGCAAAGAAAGCATTTTTGCGGCACAGGGACACTTCAGCAAAAACAAACACATCCACAGCACTCCGCCAACAACTTCACTAAGAAATCAAATATCTCATTTCAGAAGCGAATGCTGTTGTCTAATCTGTGAGCCCCACAACATGATCAATTGTGAAGGCAGCATTTCATTATCAAGCCGCTCAATTACATCTGTTAATTAGCGTAGCGCATAAAATCACCAAACACAAAGCCCCCCCAACCCCACATTGTTAATTTAACCCAAAAGTATTAGAACATTAGTATCAGACGCACAAACTCTATTTGCTAATCTGTGCTAATGATGCAATTAAGACGACCTTTTGGCTCTGATAGTGCTTCGGCCGCTGCGTCAAGATGATTTCCTCCTCTGTGGAACTTCATCCAACCGAGCTGCCATTTCACTGGCTGAGAAGCTCGGTGTGGGGCTAGTCGTCGTGTCGATCAGCCCCAGTGGAACGGCTCACTCACACACTTTTAGAATGCAAATACTAAAGATTTACTCGGTTGCTTAATTTTCCTCTTGAGAGGTGGAAGGCACGCCGGAGACCCAACTATTTATAAACTGTATTAAAGTTCCAAATACATTTTGTATAATGTCCCCTTTAGAAGGTCACGTACCATTTTGTTGGCCTGGGCTGACTCTTCTCCCCGCTGATTTAATTGAGGGTAGCCTCCATTGGGAGTTATTTTTCTGATTTGATAATGGACATGCCTCTCATGTAACATATTCAAATTTCATTCCAGTGTATTTTGATGAGGTGCGGCTCATATTATATCAGATCTGCCTGTTGACATAGCACTCACATTGGCAGATTACGCTCTGAAAATCTTGATTCCAAATTGCTTTTTCCTCTTCACGCAGCTAATGACGCAAACCCGAATTGCGGTACTTGAGTGCAAAAATCTCAATTGTTTTACTTGAACCATGCGGGTGTCGATGACGCTGAACATTGTTCTTAAAATGACATACCTGTATGGTCTGGCTCTGGTACACTTTAATGACGTGGAAGTTAAAACTGTAGACTCCTTTTCTTGGGGACAAAAACACAGACTCAAATGTGAAGAAGTTTCCAATATTTACGAGAACCTGCAAAAGAAGAGAGAAAACAGAAGCTCACAATCAAGCTTTCCGTTGTTTTGGAAAGGACAGGACAGTTCTGATGACTTTAGAAAGAGCTCACAAACTTGAGGTGCTTTCCATGGTGAATCCATTTGGTGATTTATTTAAGTTCACCATAAAATGTGTTTATTGAAGACTGTATATGTATCAACAAATGGCAGCAAGTGGTTAGCACTGACTCAATAATCGACAAATTATTGGTTTCAATCTGGCTTGGCCTCTCCTGTGTGAAGTTTAGGCTCCAGCACACAAAGAAGAAGAAAAACAAAGTTTCCATACTGTATTTATAAAACAAATGTGACTCTAAAGTGAATAGAGTGAGGTTACCTGGGTTCGTGACTTTATTGTATCAATAACTTGACCTATTGTTTACTTGTTAATTGATGGTTGGGATTATTGTTGTTGTTACTACTGCTTCACCCAAATCAGAATTTATCAACAAACGCTCTTGTTAAATATGCAGAATCTTACTTTCACCAAATGTTTATGGATGACTGTCTCTTAGGTCACACAAAACTTTGGGGATCCATTGTGCGTGATGTCACACGAGACCACAGGTCAGTGTGAATCAGAGGATTAATTCCTTGGACCCTGTTTTTGTAGAGACGCTCATGTGGGCTCGGGGCAAGTCTAGTTTACCGTGTTTGGCATGTTTTAACGCCTCGCTGGGCGTTCTGGTGGACCGTGGGTGTTTTCTATGATACACCTCAGGCGCACCTGACAATTTGGTGTCAGAAAGTGAAATAGACTTGAGGCCAGTTGAAACCAGGTCTAAAGTTGTGACTCAGGTGCTGTAATGCAATTTTTGGTGGATTTGATCAAGGTGCAGGCAGACAGATTCTGAGCTCCGCTGATATGCGTGACGGATGTCATCGTGTTTCATTCATAAATATGACAACAGCACGCATCAAAACCTCAGAATCATTGTAGAAATCAGTTAATTGAATTTATTATTATTGTGATTGTTTTTAGTATTATCATCATATTTTTACAAGTAGCCCCCTGATCACAACACAACTGGTGTGTGTGAGAGTGTGCGTGTGTGTCTGTGTGTGTATAAGACACACACACAGAGGCACGATCGGGGTTGAAGTCTGACTCCAAGTGCCCACTTCGCAGCGCCCCACGATGCATCACGAGTGAAGATTTTGCAGTTCTCTGTAGACATACTTTGTGTGTGTTGAATTCTTGCAGGGACTCGAATGAGTCCGTGATGCTTCCGTCATGGTGACCACACACCCCTCCTGCACTGAATTTATAGGGAAAAATAGGGAACTGCTTTGATGGTTCCATGGTTTGGGAATCAAGTCAGCTGTGTTTACTCCCACAACAGCGCAAATGCCCAATTCTCTCTGTGCCTGTCTGTGAAAATACCAAAACAAACTCCACCCAAGCGCTGTTAGACTGCACTTTGCACAAGACTTGCACTGAGCACAATAATAAGTCCCCATGTGTTTTGCCTTTTTCTTGTGTTGTGATCATTATACTCCAAGAAGGGGCTCTCTCAACAAGTGGTGCTTAGAGAAGATGGGGACGGGAAACCATAGGCATTCAAAGCAGTAAGTCACAATACGTGCCGTTAACATTAAAGTTAAGCATTATTGTTTCCGCCTTTCACAATTAACAGTGGAAACTTATTTTTATATTTGGATGACAATGAACAATCCCAAAATAGTTAACGCATTGCCTTAAAAAAGGGGGGCAGTTGAAAGGGATCTGGTTTAGCTCACCCATGACCCAAATCAGGACAGGCACTATAAAAGATGGATGGATGGATAGATGGATGAGTCGGCAGACTTCAATGTCCGTCCATTACATTACATAATCTTTCAAGCAAATGGAAAGACCACACATCCCATCCTCAAGGAAAAACAAAAAGATTTCTGTCTTGTTGCGTTAAGTACCTTTTTTTGAGGGTGGATGCTTGCTCTGCAGGTGATGTTCAGGATGGCCCCCTCCCCCACACAACACATGGCAAACGCATGCACACGCACGCACGGACACTGTCAAAAACATGGCAACTGCTTGTCATGACACATAACACAAAACGGACGAGGATGAGGACCTGGTCGAAGTAGATGATCCTGGTCTTGTTGCTCATCTCGGACGGCTCGTGGTTGTTGCTCCGCACCACCGAGAAAGCCACTTTGGAGTTGGCGGCGCGCACCGAGATGCCGAGCGGCGAGTTGGACGCCCGCCAGTCGGCAGCCGGGTTGGAATCGCACACCACCAGACATTTGCCCTCCAGCACGATGGGCTCCGTGTCGTTCTGGCCTCGCAGCGTGGCAACCAGAACCCACAGCACGCTCCAGCCCAACAACCGCATGTCCGCGAGTTGTCCACTTAACGGGTCCGCACGTGCGCCGCGTCCACGAGAGACACCCTCTTCGCGCGCGCCATCCTCGTCGAGTCCAAATTCCCAACGGGAGAAAAGCCTGAGCGTCTCATGAAAATAAAATTCAGTCAATAAATAAAGTTCGTGCGTATACGTGTGCGTCAGTCAAAACTGCGTGATGCGCATGAAAGGATAATGCATGCGCCCGACTGCCAGTCTGTGTCCGCTCCACGCACGGAGCTGAAGAGATGTGCTCGGTGGTGCCGCGTGATCATGCGCCCAAAACGCAGCCACCTTCTGCGCGCACGCGCACCGGACGTTAATTAATTGTCAAGTACCACACTTAAGTTCGTGTGCGCCTTGCAGGTTAATGCAACACCTTCAAGCTTCGACAAGAACAAATTTGACGTCAGCAGTGTCCCGAACTTGACGTCGTCAAGTGGCTCCACGGATTTTGTTCGACGCAGCAACTCACTGGGGATCTGATATCAATTCAACATCAAAATGAAATCGAAATCCAATTTTCAAAAGGAAATTATATTGACACATGCCTGCCGGGAATCAAATGCAATTGCGCAATTGGCGAGGAACCACCTGACAAAAAAAAATTAATGAAAATATCTTTGAAAAAATTATTTTCTACGTTTATTTTAATAAATAATAAGCCGATCCTGGTTTGCATTCTGCATTGAATGGCACTTTCAGTCAAACCATATCCAAGAAGCACAGTGACACAAAAATCTCAAAATTCTTCACAATTCTTTACACTGATTTTGATAAGAGTTGTTCCTGCTGGGATTACGAATGTGTTGCGCAAGGTTCTGGATATATGTGTATTTTATTTCATTTCCATTCTATGATGTAAAAATACTAGAAATAGTTGACGTTGGCTACGAGGATCAAATGTTCTGAAGAAAAATTGTGATCAAATTTGTAGGCTACGATGTAATTCTGCTATTGATGTCAATTTGTATAGTTTGCTATATTGGATTCATGGGTTGCTCCTTCCAAAAGATGCCGGCCCACCAGGCATCTGCCCAGCACACCAGAAGGCCACTCCTGGCCGGAGTAGTGTGCAAAAGTATTAGTCCGACAACATAGTAAATAATAATAGGACATTTAGCACAATTACACTTTGAGTACAAAACTTTTCAGATGGTGATGCCTGGCTCAAGAAAGACATTTTCACCATTTGAGTCATTATGGCATTACCCCAAAATATAATGGCATTGCCCATCTGGTCATCATCATCCATGAACCAGGGAGAAGTCTGCTAACTAACAAAAGGATGGACCAACAAACACAAATGTGACACTCAATGTTTTTTTGTTGGTTTTTTTTTTGTCACCAAGAGGAATAGACACATATAAAAAAGGGATTTTGTCTAATTGTAATGAGAATTGCCTCCTCATTACAGGCAGTAATCTCCCTCTGTCGAGTTCTATTGGCGTCATGTTAATTAAAATATTGTTTATACAGTTAGTCAAGGTTTATAGTTTGAACCTGAAGCACATTTTTTTTCTATTTCCATTATTTCCTTTGAGAACATTTTATTGGAGGTTTCACTGTTTTGATTGCTGAATTTAACATTGATAAAACATAGACTTCAAATTGTGGAAAAACGGAAGTAGAAACCATAAGGTTGATATTCTAGTCGTGTCAGAGAATGAATTCTATATAACATCAGCGCGGGCCCTCTTGAAGTCGTGGATGAACTGACAGATGAAGCCAAAGAGCTCCTGAGAGTCCTGGTCGGCCGCCTCTCCAAATTTCACCTTGCAGAAAGAGAAAACACACACACACACACACACACACACACACACACACACACACACGGTTACAGACTTGGAAGGACACACGCGCACCCTTGGAGCCAACACCATTACTTTACAATTAGCAAATGCAGTTTAGCCTAATTAGTGCAGCGATAGCCTGGTGGGCTCATGTTTGTTCTTAACACTGGTCGTTTGAATTAATTACCTCATAAAGTGCTGCTGCATGCCACCTGCTACGCTGGTGTACTTTAACACTGACTTGGACATGGATTGCTTACTTAATACTCAACTGGACGGTTAGAGGTCACCAACACCGATTTCCAAACTTTTTAAAGGTTGATGGGGGTTAAAAGTGGCCTAATCAACATGACGCATGCTGGAGCGAGTGCCGCTGCCAGCTTCTGAGTTTTGGGTTTTTGGGGGTGGGGGTTTTAACCATTTGGACAAATGGGAAAATACCATGACACATATCGATTCTCCTGTTTTCTTCCTTGGGTATCACAAATGGACATATGTTCCTAAATTGATTTATTTTATTTATGTATTTGATTGATATAACAATCGCAACCGCAAACGCAGGTACCCCATGCATAGAGCATGTCATATTCCAAAGGGTCTCTCCGCACTCCCACTAGTTCCTTGCCTCCAACATCTTACAAGCAGCCATGATGTTTTATACATTGAACATCTCAACTCGTCAAGGTCATCATTAAGCATTCTTTGCCCTTGTGACAAGACGAGGCTTACTATTATTTAGTAAAATGTGTCTTTTTCCAGACCCACTGCTGAATTGCTGCAGTCAACCGCCATCATCTCTCACAATGGCCCGGCAGTGGCTTTGTGTTACATCAAATTACAAGGCAAGGCAGATTTATTTATGTAGCACATCGCATACGCATGGCAACTTCATGCCTTGCGAGGTTTCGGACTTAGTCTTTGGTTTTGAAAGACAGTGACACCAAGTGTTTTCTAACAGCAGTCCTTGTCTTTATTTTAATAACTAAATAAATAAATAAAACAGCTTAATCCTCACGGGGGGGTTCGGGCGTGCTGGCGCCTATTCCGGCCCACTTTGGGCAGTAGGCGAGGTACATGAGGTCATGAAAGTAATTAAACGAAACCAAAACTAATACTAACAACAACAATCATAATAATAATAAAAAAACACAAATTCCTGAGTTTAATCGCAACTGAAAACGTGCTATGCATTATTCTGTAGAAAGAAAGAACGTTTTTTTTTTTTCCACCACAGCGCCATTTGCAGGATCAGGCGGGACAGGACCCTTCTTGCTCTGGATGCCAACTTTCTTTCTTCCTAAATACTGTCACTTGGGTTTTTGACTTAAGGAGGAAGCTTGTACAGGGAAGAGACAATACAAGCGAGACTGAATATTTGCTGCACTCGTTCCAATCTCTCGTCACTTGACTGGAGCGCGAGCTGTGGCGAAACAGAGCAATCTAATTTTGGCTTCCTATAACCCAATTGTCTGCTCTCCTAGCGCTCGTTCCATAGCGCTCATTCTATCATAGCTCAGCAGAGAGAGCCAGCGGTGAAGCATGTGTGGGCTTTCAATAGAGATGGATCGAGGCCACGTGAAGGATTTTTCTGAAAGACAGGCTTGGTTGTTTGAGAAAAATGAACACAAAAATACATGACAATATGAACTTAAGATGCTCAGACAAAAAAATAAAATAAAATGATGACCAATAGTAAAGAAATGAAATCCTTTACTACTGTCACCAAGCAGTGTTGATTCCGTGCTACTTCATCTAAGGTGCCGTTTCTCAACCTTTATTGAGCCAAAGTGGGTATTTTACGTGAGAAAAAAAAAAATCGAACCATTTCAACGGCGAATGCCGATTTGCGATATAAGGGATTTTAGTGTGGCCACGGAACATATACTAAGAGAGTGGACAATTTTCATTTTCATTTTCTACTTAGAATGACAACACAAATGATGACAAATTTGACACGCCGGGAGAATAGAGCAAGTTGTCAATAAAAAGAAGCTTCTGACATATGAAGTCAAGGATTACCAAAATGCTCGAGTAGAGCTTTTTCATCTCCTCACAAGACTTCGTCAAGGCCAAAAGATCTGCGTTGTATTTTTCCACTGCTACCTGGGGAATAAAAACATTGGCGTGCAGGTAAGTGTCTTTTCAATCAGGCAGTCTGTGCTCGTCACTAAATATCCCTTCCGAAAACTCCAGTCTGTTTAGTATGCCGTGTTCACACAGCTGACTCGTGGTTGGTGAATGAGCTGTGCTAATTGCCATAACTTCTGACTCACTTGCAAACAAAATCTCTTCCTTGTTATAGTTATTGATCCATCTGCCGGCTACCTACTGACCTAACCACCTACTGCATCTTCGTGCCACTTACCTACTTGTACTTACTCACCACCAATCTACTAAGCACATGTCTACTTTCAAGTTACTTACCTAGTCACCACCAATACTTACCAATCTACTACCTTCTCTGTACAGCACACATACATACCTCCCTTCAAGCTACAGTACTTACCCACCGACTCCCCACCTACTACACTACTACCTACACACCCACCTTTAAGCTACTTACCCATCTACTCACCACCAATCTACTGACCTGCCCACCTACTACCTACTGTACATGCATCCCTTCAAGTTACTTACCTACCTACTCAGAATCAGAATCAGATTTCTTGCCCAAGTATGGAAGAAACACACAAGGACTTCCCAGTTACATACCCTTCAGAGATCAATAATGGGCGAGACAGAACGAGAAGCCTGGCGGCTTGCTGTGACTCACCACCATTCTACTGATTGACTAACCTTTATGCTGACCGGCCTCTACTTTTCTTCCTAATACTGATCCTTGTGTTACCAATTTAACATCGATCTACATTTCAGCCATCTCGCAACTAGCCATCATGTTATCCACCGACTGCGCTTTGTGCTTCACCGCGAGGTTCCATTGTGCCACCAACCTCTTACTCACTTTCTCTGATTAAATCTGTCGGTTCTATAAATTCAAGCTACCTTTATTCCGATCGCATGCGTCAGATGAGATTTTTGAGGGGGGAAATCAATATAATCCAGTTTGAAATTGGGCTCTAACATAAAAATGTGGAAAAAGATCAGCTTCCGGACAGCATTGCTACCTGTCTACTTCGATACTCTGCCTACTCCCTAAACATTTACCTTCATGCCAACCCCCTACCATTGAACCACCTACCAACTGTCTGGCTTTGTGTTACTGATGGAGCTAACTACCAATGACCAAGTGGCCACAAATCAACTTCCAAATCTTGGCACTAGTTTTAATCCTACCTTCAGGTCTTTGCTGAAGTGTGCATGATGCGCCTCAACATTTCTCTTCTTGGAGCTTTTTCCATACTGGATGACTTTCTGCAGTTCATTTTTCAGTACTAATAGAAAAAAAACAAAACACATCGACACTATTATTAGGCCGCGGGTCATTGGGGCCAACACTTTTTGCAGTCTTATGAAATGCTATCGACTCACCATCTACCTCAGCAGTTAGGCCTTTGACAGAAGCTAGGACACACATAGAGAAAGCGGTTTCATTTAACTTAATTTTCTTCTTCATCTTTGATCAAACATGAAGACGGAAATACCTCCTGGGACGGTTTCAAATTCTCCCAACTCCTTGGTAAAGTTGGCCAAGACCGGTTCATGCAACATGATTTGCTCCACAAGGGCATGGAGCAAGGTGAAAGTCCGCTCTGTACCGCGAAGCTGCGGCAGCTGTGGATCGATAGCACTTGTGAGCAATGACATGATAGTGCCATCTTAGTTTAAAAAAAAAAAAAAACACATTACATCCAGGGAAGATTGAACATTCGTGTGTGCGAGTGTGTGGGTGTGTGTCTGTGCCTGTGTAATCTCGTGAGTTCCTTCATGTGAAGGCCAGACATTCGTGCTGTCAACGCAACAATTCAATTAACTCCAACAAAGTGATTTTTTTTCACTTTTTTTTTTATCCTTCTCTGGCTAAGGTTGAAATGGAATTTTCTTCAAGAAAATCAGAGACTACCAGCTGACACAGGTGAACATTTCCCTATCGAATAATATGTTGGAAAAACAGTCCGACAACTGTGCTTTGCAAGGTGTTTACAGTTAATTAATCACTTATTTTAGCTTTGGTTATGTTGGAAAAAGGAGCAATGCTGTCTAATGTCATAATGGGTTACAATATACGTGTCATGATTCGGTTTGTGACCAACAGGTGGCACTGTAGGGCTCCCCCTGCAGCTGCACACCTGTTGGTCATTATGTAATTAGTAGTATAAAAGGACTCCCGCCCAACCACTCATGGTCGGGTCATTGTTTGTTTCTTTGTTGCTGTCATGTATGTTTGTCATGTTTCTGGTCATGTTTCTGTTATTGATAGTTTTTTTGCTTAAGTCATGGTTTAGTTTGCTACTTTGGATTCTTTTTGTTTTGGATTTAGTTTTCTCTGTTTTAATACAATTTGTCAAATACACCCTGCTCCTCCCTCTTGCCTGCTTTTTGGGGTCCACCACCACCACCACGCAACGTGACAATTCGTAGGTGATATCGGCCTTTACAAAGATATAAATTCTCAAATTTGAATGTCCAATTCCCCTGAAGTCGTACGGGTCTCAGCAAATCTTACAAGAAGCAGCCAGTGAGAGTAAAATAATCTTCAGTGCCTTTTTTTCGTGCCGTACACGGTAGTCAGGCGTGCATTTCAAGACCATCTATCTCAGGCTATGTCGATTTAATAGCTCAATAGGACCGCACCTCAGAAGGGAACGGAAGGCCTCGGCTTCATTAAAGCAGGTCGAGGACATTTCAGGTGTGGGCCTAGCATAGAGGCCCTTAAAAATTCCTGGCGGGGCCACTTGCACACGAGGTTTAAATTAAATTCAGAACAGTTGCACATATGTCCAACCGCTACAAGAGAGAAAAAGCAATTTAGACTTTTAAGAGAAACACAGTTGGGTTCACTACCCCACGTGGATGGCACCTTCTCAGCATGTCTCGCAAAAGACGTCGGTTGTTACAACCCACAAGTTACAACTCTGCTGTTATGTTATGCGCTATACTATTTCCTGCAATGATGCAATAAGCTAATTTGTGCAATATTATTCTACGCTATTGTGACTATGCGTTTGCTTTGCTGTTGATATATTTTGACACAAGTATCTGTACTTCACTCAAGTACAGAGTGTGAATACTTTTGCCAGGTGTCTGTTCCAAAAAGCCATAATGCGAAAAAAAAAATCTTTTATTATTACTGTAATACATTTGTATTGATTTACATTTGCTGCGCTATTCCTGTGCTGAATACCTACGCTGTGTAATTGCTCCTTTCGTCTGTGAGTTTGAGGTACGGAGCAATCACTCGTCAAAATGTAAGCTCCAGACAAGTGATTGAACTTAAGCGACCACAGCAGGAAGGCCCAGAGTCAAAATGAAAGAAAAGCCCTGTTGTGTATGTCAATGAGCGCTATCTTATTAGCACTGCGCCACAACCCGAGTCAGCCGACAGCGGAGTCATACTTTAGCTAAGGATGAGAGGCGGAATCCCTTGGCCTTCTTCTTTCCGGCGTTCTCGTTGAGGTAATTGCCGATTGCCAGCAGGTACTCCAGCACGGAAACGAATGACCTGCAACTGTTCAGCTCTGTACACATCGCAATCTTCTGGCCAATCAACTGCAAGGCAAACACAGCGTCAGAGTTTATTATTTTTACTTGAATTAATCAGCCCCTGCTCTCCCCGCGCACACACACGCACACACACATTGACACATGCGCACACAACAAACATGTTTTGAGTATTGAGGCCAAAATAACTCTGGGCTATAGTGAGGTTGTTTCTTTTTTTTGCATTCAAAACACCACCTCATTTGACCCAATGAGATGAATAATCAGGCCTGTGTTGTTGGGCGAGATGATTATTTTGTATGTAATTGTGTCAAGTGCTAATATCCCTCTGGAAAAACACACGAATCTCTTGTTTAACAAGCACAGGGCGGAAGTGAAAGTAGGACTGGTTCGGTTTTTCCGATGAGCTGTTTGGAATAGAAATGAATGATGGGGGAGTTAATCTTGCCATTAACAGAGCCTCAGAGCCAGCCAGCACCAACATGCTGTCACCATATGCTTATTTTACACACACACACACACACACACACACACACACACACACACACACACACACACACACACTAAAATACAAACATTCAAATGTATTTGCAAGTACTTTCAAACGTATTTAAATTTATTTGAACGTATGTGCTAGTATTTTCAAACATATTTGCAACTAAATTCAAATGTACGATTAGGTTAAAATGCTAAAAACATTTTTTCCATCATGCCACAGAGTATTAACTTGCGCATGCGCAAAAAAAGCATTTTTTTTTAGCATTTCACCTGTTTTAGTATGTTTGAAAGTTACGTAAGCAAATATTTTTTATTCTGAAATTTTATCATTTATTATTATGTCTGCAGTGCATGAGGTCTGTTTTTTCCAATAATGCCACAGGATATTTTATTAGCATTTCGCCTACATTATACCAACACATTCATTCATCCATCCATCCATTTTCCGATCTGCTTTATCCTCACAAGGGTCGCGGGGGGTGCTGGCGCCTATCCCAGCCGTCTTTGGGCGGTAGGCGGGGGACACCCTGAACGGGTTGCCAGCCAATCGCAGAGCACAGACAGAGACAAACAACCATCCTCGCTCACAATCACACTTAGGGACAATTTGGAGTGTTCAATCAGCCTGTCATGCATATTTTTGGAATACGGGAGGAAACCGGCGTACGCGGAGAAAACCCACGCAGACCCGTGGAGAACATGCAAACTCCACAAAGCGAGGCCGGAGCTGGAATTGAACCCAGTACCTCTGCACTGTGAGGTCGACGCACTAACCACTGGAACACCGGGCCACCTATACCAATACATTTGAAAGTTAAATAATTAAGGCTATGATTCTAAAGAAAACAAATGATCCATCCGCACGCCTTGACCGAGACAAGTTGAACAGCCTCCTGTCACACAGCAAACCATTTTGACCCCAATCCACTTACCAAAGTCAAAAAACTGACCACTTGGCTACCACGGGTCTATGCTACAAACTTGGGAAAGTTGCTTGACAACATGGCCTGATCGAGAGGAGGTCCGTTGTACTGTTTATCATTATGCGATTTCCACGCTGCATTGCTTCGAGCAACTTTTGTCAGTTGATTCAAAGTCCTGCTGAGCCATCTGATGATCAACACTTCAAATTCCTGAATTCCCATCAGTCATTCAACTTCTTGAGAAGTTGTTGGTTCAACACATTTGTACAATATGTGCTAATCACGATGTGCATTAAACTCTCTCTTTCTGTCTGTCTTTCTCTCTCTCTCTCTCACACACACACACACACACACGCTCTTTCTCACACACACAACACTTAAGTAGATGTCACTTCTAGGATGTGAAGGTATTTTGGCAGTGAAAGTTCCCACCAGCTTGTGAGAAATATCTCACCGGTGGTGATTTCACCATTTCCGCCCCACCTCGAGTTTTGTTTCAAACAAACTGAGCTCCAACTTTAGTTCGGAGGAGGCATCTCAAACTTGAACGAGTCATATAAGCAAATACACTACTTTGTTGAACAATGTCATGGCATCACTACACCGCTCACAAGCAAGAGGTGGCATATATGTACGTATATGGAGGCTTGCTGCACTACGCTATGATGTATTAACCAGCATCCAATAAGTGCTTGGACTGAATAAGCGATAGCTCGCCCATCATAAATGAAAGATGTTTTTTTCTCGTCCAGTGCAAAAAAACGGCAATTTTATTAGATAGATCAATTCGATTATTCGCTATTTTAAAACAGCAAAACAACATTTCAGGGTTTTCATGAGTCTGTTTTTACACACATTTAATTGTTGAGAAATTCATATTGGAGTAAAGCTAAACATTGGAGCAAATTCTGATATTTGGCAGAATAAAATTCCAATTCAAAATCCAGTTACCGTAATCAGAAAAGTAACCCGAACACCCGACAACAATAAAAGTAAAATTTATCGGCAGGGCATTAGCTGTTTTACAAAACTTTTTAAAATAAATATTATGGGGAGGGAATTTTTGAATGTCATTATCTTTGTCCTATGTTGTAATGTATTCATATGAAAAAAAAAAAGATAACAATTGTTGTAAGGGTGATAAGAGGGGCCGAACATCATAAATATTAAACCTGTTCAGTATTTATGATAGCAGATTCTTATTATGTGTGGGGTGAACACTGAATTGGACTGAGCCACAGGCGTGAAATGAAAGCCAATGAAGAAATAGCCTAAAGCCCCCCCCCCCTCCCTACCCCACTGTTGTTACAGTATATTTTCCTGCTACTCCTTCATTTTCATTTTTATTTTCCAACATTTTGGAACCCTATGGCACTGTGCTATCTCTCAAAGGTCAACACACGCGCTAATTTTTTTACCTCATGTTAAGCAAGGTTTCCATTCTGTTCCCGATTGTCACTGCAGTCTCGTTTGCCCGAATTGTAATAGTGCCCAATTTTTCCTTCTGGATTTAAGTCCAAATGTTGTCACAAGGGGTGTTGGTCGAATGGGCTGTTAAGCTTCCCTGTCAGACGTTCTGTAAACCATCACACGTCGTGCTGTGATTTGACCAAGGTTGCTGTGTTGAAAAAAAATGACTAACAAAATAACAAAAACAAAAATTGAAAAAAAAAAAAACATTTTCAAAAAAACAAAATTAAATAAAAACCAAATGTTTAAAAAAAAGAGACTATCTAAAGCTACATCTTTCATATACAGTATATATTTTTTGTTTTTGTCAATTAATATATACGAGCGTTCAGAGTTCATTTTAAATGAATTTATTTTGGTATTGCTGGAAGAGACATTTGAGAATTGTAGTTTACCTTGCTAAATAGTACAAATGCACTATATATTTCAAGAAACTAAAACTAATACTAAAACAAAAAGAATGAAAACGGCACTTTAAACAAACCTGCTTCAAAAGCGAATTAAAACTAGTTGACATTAAACAACAAGTCCAAATGAAATGAAAACAAACTATAATACACACTTACAATTGTGAATTGGACACGACGCAAGAGCTACCATACTCCCGAGTTGTCAGTCAGAACACTGTGACAATATGTAGTAAAATGGGGCAAAACATAATTCAGAGGTGATAGAACATGACCAAAACTTGAAAGGACTGAGTGATGCCGGGGACCAACATTTGCTCCCTGGCCACCTTTTGCCACGCCCTCGTAGGAACTGTCAAGTTAGCTTGTGTTGACATCTTTTTTGACTATAGCCGCACAGCTTTCTCATCCGTATGGTGACTGTTATGCCAAATTTTAAGATAAGATCGGAAAACCTTGATTAGTCTCACAATGGAGAAATTCCCAATTCACAGCAGCAAAGTTATGAAAGGAAGAAGGAACAAAATATAGGAGCTGCTGTAAAGGCAGCCACTCTCGTGGCGCCAGCTTGAAGTCAAAATAACAAAATTATTCAACACAACACATAAGACACAGACAGTCGTGCAATCTTAACCACTTTTCTGCATCCTCTTTGTTGTATGAAGCGGTTCGGTTTATTTTGTGACCGTTAAAAATCTGTGCAGGCATCCACGGCAGTCATGGCCTGTCAATTTTGCCTATCCTGCCCCCCCCCACCCCCACCCCATCCTGTCACGACCATCCACCCTTTGGCAACCTTAAAGGTGATTGTCGTGGCTGCCGCGAACATAATGCAAAGCCAAAATCAAAATGTCCCAAAAATGGCAAAATGCGGAGCCGACTTAAATTACAACCAGGTAGAAAGAACTGCTCACCAAACGAGTTTTCCTGTTTCGGTTGAGTATGATGTAGCGCTACTGTTTTGTCTTCATTGCGAGACAGTTGAAATGAAAGCGAAGTTGGTGAAGAATGAAAAATAAAAGAGTAGAAGAAGAGCTGGGAGGGATGCTGTCTGACTTCAATAACTTCACAGCCTGCAGTCCCTCAAGCCAATAAACAATGATCCTGTGTAAGAGAGTCACACTGGCTAATGATGAAATATTGATCCTCACTCCAGAAAAAACACTCAAAACTATATTTGCTTATTTTGTTTTTGACCTCTCTTCATTCATTTGTCTGCATAGAGAAGCAGAAGTTTCCGCAATGAAGTTAAATTGCATTCTTTGAATTCTTCGCACCACCGACTGAACAAAGCACAAATTTGATTTGATTAAGATCTTTTTTTTTCCTCGCGCTCCATCAAATCAAGAGTCGTTTTAAAGTGCGTTCTGTTTGGAAGGCTTACAAATCAAATAAAAAGAAAGCCATGGAAATTCAAAAGACAGGCAAAGGGCTCTTGCTGAATAATAGCAGTTAGTGTGATGGGAGCTTTTAGCGATGCGACACACACAAAAACAAGGATTTGACCTTTTTTTTTTTTTCTTTTTTTTTTACCGGGTCAGTGCACTCACAGGCTGCAGGTCCTTCATGCTGATGGGAAGCTCTCTCAGGGTGAGCAGCAGGTCTAGTTGTGTGCTCAGGTAGGGAATATCGCACATCTGCAAAATGAAGAAGGAATGCCGAGACTTTAAAATGATAACTTAGGGAAATTAGCACAGAACTGATGACAACATTGTCAACCGGCCCACTTCCGGTGACCATGAAGTGAATGTAAAACGTAAAATCCGCAATGCCGAAAGATGGGCTTTTTATGTGAACACGTCGATGCTAGTACGAGTGAGATCGAGAGCAAGAATTAAGACTTGTGTCTTAAGTTATGCTAACTGGCGACATTTTCACTATGTTTAGACACTGACGTCTCTAGCCCCTTTTTTTCCAATTGAATAAGTGCATTTTAATTAAAGGTCTGATTTTCTTTTTGTTTTTAATTATTTTGGTGTTATATAATTTGAGCAAAAAAAATTAGGATAATAAATCTTAATCAAGGGTGCCAATAATAATGGAGGGCAGTGTATTTTCTATTGCATTTGTCTTTGTTTGGGTCACTCACAAGTGAACAGCAGCCTCGAGGTGGGGTGCACCCAGTTTTGTTTTGGTTTTTTTTTTGGGGGGGGGGTTGCAGTGCACATATAGATAAACAACCATTCACAGTAACATTCATATCTATTGACAATCTAGAGCAGGGGTGTCAAACTCATTTTTGTTGTGGGCCACATTGCAGTCATCGTTTCCCTTGGAGGGCAATTATGACTGTCAAACCATATGAAGAAGTCAAGAATAATGTGTTATTCAACCATGTTTGAAGTGACTCTGGTCACAAGAAAATGCTTACAATATATGTTATTTATTACATATGAGAATTTGAAATTTTGCAAGATTTTAGCAATCATCTATCATGGACGTTGACATGTTTGATTTGCTTTCGCGGGCCACATAAAATGATGTGGTGGGCCACATCTGGCCCCCGGGCCTTGAGTTTGACACCAGTGATCTAGAGTCATTAATTAACCATCGATGTGTGTTTTTGTAATGTGGAATTTTTGAGAAATGTCCGTGATTAGCGGGTCCAACACAATGTACGTGTAAAACAGCCAAATCCATTCGTTATTATCCGTCAACCTTTGTGCCATCTCGAATCCCCGATACTGCACAAGTACGAATGCAACATTAGCATGTTAGCATTGGGCATCGTTATGGTGTTTGTTATTTTTTTACTCAGCACCTCTTCCACATAGAGATACCGTGTCAGACGGAATTACAACTTCACACAGAAACAAATGAGATTCAGATGATGTGTGCTCTTAAAAGCAGTCAGTGTCCTCTCGTTTTCTTTTTTGAAATCTGCTAGCATTGTGGAATATTCCAATAAGTCCTCGAGCTTGCCGCATACGGCAAACAGTGTATCGAGGATGTTTTATTCTGGCCCGCAGCTTGTCACAGGTAACGTTCGCTTGCACCGAAGACGCATCGTGTTGCAGAGGAGATCAGGCCCACGTCTTGCATATTAAATCCCTCTCAGGCCTACCATCTTGAAAGCTGTTTTGGGATGCCTGTGCTTTTTTAAAACTCTTTTCACTGAATCACACACAGGTCAGATGGGAGGCAGGTGACATTTTGTTAAGAAGGTGTCTTGACAGAGTGAGAATAATGTTACTGGAACGGGGCCAGGCGTTTTAAATCTGACTGTAGGAATCACAATGGGAGAAAGTAAACTCTCTACCTCCATCATGTACTGGTCCACAATATGCAGCTCGCTCACTGGTCCTTTGTGGGATTTATACATCTCCACATCCTCCACCGTGGGAACATACCTGTCAGATTTTAAAAACACACGATTAGCTAGCTGAAAGCAACATGTTAATTGGCATCCCACAGTCAACACAGACCACTGCCAAGGCTTTGTTAAATGTGCCACCTTTTAAATGCTATTCTCGGATCTTAATAGCGAAACGCAGGACGCCACAATCATCCTTTTCTTTTTAATTATTAATTTTTTACTAGTACCATCCCTCTCGGCTAGGAGAACGCACATTTCTGCTGCTTTTTAGTGAGCTGGTGATATTCATTTTGACTTAAGTGAGCAAATGTGGCTGTTTGTCCTATAGAGAGATGTGCTTTTCTGTGCTGCATTTTAATTCCTGTCTAATGCAGAAGTTTGGATATTTCAAATTCAAAGCAAAGGCATGTGAATACAAATGTTGCGAATGAAAAATTGGCTTTAAAATTGCCAATTCAAAAGCAAACATGTACTTATCTCAATTGGTCCGTGACACAAAAAATGTTGGGTACCATTGGACATAGGTGTCTTTCAAACGCATTGAGGTGGTGTATAGAGGCAAAAACGATAGGATTCTGTCACTCCCCAATATTTCTGGACCTCAAGGTACATTCCCGTGTTGACCCTTTTATGCCATTCTTTCCTTCGACGTGGCGGCCCGGTGGGCCAGTGGTTAGCGCGTCGACCTCACAATGCGGAGGTGCCGGGTTCGATTGCAGCTCTGGCCTTCCTGTGTGGAGTTTGCATGTACTGCCCGTGCCTGCGTGGGTTTTCTCCGGGTACTCTGGTTTCCTCCCACATTCCAAAAACATGCACGGCAGGCTGATTGAACACTCTAAATTGTCCCTAGGTGTGAGTGTGAGCGCGGATGGTTGTTTCGTCTCTGTGTGCAATGTGGCTGGCAACCGGTTCAGGGTGTCCCCCGCCCAAAGACAGCTGGGGATAGGCTCCAGTACGCCGCGTGACCCTTGTGAGGATAAAGCGGTTCAGAGAATGGATGCATTGATGCCCTTCTACGTTTAGACAGGATGCGCCTCGCCGTTTAGTGCCTGCACTGACTTTAACCTTGCTCGTGTGCGGTCCAACTTCCTCTTTCTGTCATTTGCTCGGCTTCTGAACTCCAAACCAAATGCATTGACTTTTTCATGAGGCCGCCTCGTGCCTCCGGAGGGCCACCGGACATTAATATTGCAGCACCTGTTGGGAGAGCTTCTTTTTAAGATTGTATTCCTGAGGCGCACGCAGTGACGCATTAAAATATATATTATGTTTTTATAGAATAAATAAAATCCTTCCCCTCCACAGTACATTAGATCAGTGGGTGCTCTCCAGGGGGAGTCAGCATCCAGATCCAGTGAGTTATCTGCAAGTAGCAGGCCACTTTCATTGTGACCTCCACAAATATCCTGGGATAAAAATTTCATCACCGCACTGCTCTGGTAAAAGGGTTTGCCATCTGCTCTTTAGTATGAGAACCCGGGGCATGCAAAAGGGGAAACACTGGCCCACTTGGCATGATTGCCGATGTCATATTGAGCTTTGACTGTCGATGGGACCTCTGCTGGTTGAATTCGATGTGGGCCGGCGTGCTCTTCTTTTCTGCCTCAGCAAAACTAGTAATCTTCAGCGAATGAGGCTATGCTATGGCTGTCTGACTATCCCAAAACCACTCCTTTCTGCTTTCCTCACTCTGCTTTTAGTTCCGGTCGATTTGGTGATTGTCAGAGTTGGACCGACATTTTTTGGATCACCAACTGTCACGTTTGTTAAATATGAAAGAATAAATCATGTGCTTGTCACCGGGAGCAGACTCTCTGCCGCACTGATGCGCACCTGTGAATTTCAATCAATATTGCTATGATCAATCATTAAAAAAAAGTTGACTGAGTTCATCTGCAATTTTTCATTTGTTTCCATCTTTCATTAGCGAATGCAGGAAGCAGATGATCAGATAATGTAAATAAAACAACTTCTCCTACTTCTCACTTTGTTCCACAGCCTCAGTGTCACATGCCGTGATGGCATTAATATCTTCTTGAAGTTGAAAAAGGACATTACTGAAGGCTAAAGGTTGAAACGCATCGCTTCCCCTGCTCGCTGACTCGGGCGAAAAGATCGACTCGCCTCTCGTCTTGGCGAGGAAGGAATACAAATGAGGAAGTTGGGGCCTGAAAAAGTCATACCTCCTCAGAGAGGTGATGTGCTCGTCAGACAGGCCTCCATCCTCCTCGTTAATGATGAAGAGTTTGTCCTTCAGCTCTGCGGGCTGCACCGCAAAACTTTTGAGGAAAATGTCTGCAAGAACAAGAGAGTCGACAGCGTGAGCTCGGCTGTCTTTTTTTTTTTTTTTTTTTTGGCTTGCCCTGCAAAGGAATGACTGGAAAGAAAAAGACAAAACGTCTGCAGCCTAATTACGCCTCACTTCTCCCAAACACCTCGGGGAAACGCACATTTGCAACATCAGGTCGATTTGTTTTGTTTTTACACATTCGAAAGCAGCAGCGTGCGAGAATCGACTGCTTCGAGAGTTTTGTTTTTTTTATGCAGATGTAAAATGTCACACTTCAGACAGGGAAATCACATTTTTGCTGCCTGTCACCAGCAGAAATGTGAAACTTGGGAATCAGGATTAATGAGTAAATATTTATTCATTTTTGAAAATGAAGCCGTCAAAAAGTGAAACAGATAAAAAAAAAAAATCCACTAAATTATCATAGTCATCTTAACAAATGGATAAAATAATCGTAAAAAAACGTCTAATTATATATTATACAAAACTTCTGATTTTATGAAGCCAACGTTGAGCTCAGGGTACTTCAGTCCAGTGAGGATCTTAACATTCATCCATCCACTTTATCCTCACAAGGATTGCGGGCCGTGCTGGAGCCTATCCCAGCCGTCTTCGGGCAGTAGGCGGGGGACACCCTGAACCGGTTGCCAGCCAATCACAGGGCACACACAGACGTACAACCATCCGCACTCACACTCACACGAGGGACAATTTTGAGTGATCCATTAACCAGCCATGCATGTTTTTGGAATGTGGGAGGAAAACAGAGCACCCAGTGAAAACCCACGCAGGCTCGGAGAGAACATGCAAACTCCACACAGGGAGGCCGGAGCTGGAATCGAACCCGGTACCTCTGAACCGTGAGGTCGACGCACTAACCACTGGACCACCACTGGGCCGCCATATCTCAACATTATGAACTCTATTCTCGTTGACATTTTCGTATGTTTTCGAATTAGGCAGACTGCGCTGTGCATTGCTGGGCATTCCGGATTTTTCATTTTGGTTTCTTTATTTTATATTTACATTTGTGACCTAATCACACCCGTCTACGGCTTTGAAGCATGTCAAAATGTTGATTTGTCGAAGGTTTTACAGGGGTGAGTGTTTGAGCTGACCCTGCAACAGATTGTTTCCATTGCCATGAATTCAGCTGGGTAAAAACGTTTTTTTTTTACATTAACCACCATCCGATAGTGGATCTTTCACATCAATTGCTCAGAAGTCAGAAACACGTCTCATGAATTGTTGATGAATTACACTTTTTTTTTAAAGAAAAAAAAAGAGCAATGCTTCCTTTTAACGTGAGAACTCAAGTGTTAAACAACACTTGACTGCTTAGCGATTATCCATACACTCTAAAGTGGCCACTATTAATTAGGCAGCATGCTTAAGCAGCTCTTAAAAATATACACTTTCAAACACTCTTCCATGTTGTTTCTAGTCGATATTGTTTTCTGTTCAATGAGATTGAATCCACACGGTCTCCAAACACACCGGCAGGAACCCTGGGGCACATTCAAATATTTCTTTGTACTGCAATGGAGAAATTCTACTTTTACAGTCACAAATTGGACAGCAACAGCATAAATTAATAACAATATCCATCCACTCTCTGTGCCGCGTAACCTGATTGGAGTCGCAGGTGTGCAGGAGCGTATCCCAGCTGATTTCAGGTGAGAGGCAGAGTGCACCCTGAACCAGTTGTCAACCCATCGCAGTTCACTCTTACATTCACAGCCACCGACCATTTGGAGGCTTTAACTATCCTGCATGTTTTGGGAATAGGTGAGGAAACCGGATAACTCCGAGCCCAAACTTGAACCCCTCCGTCCTCTGAATTGTGAGGCGGTTGTGCTAACCCAGGGGTCGGCAACCCAAAATGTTGAAAGAGCCATATTGGACGAAAATAAACAAAAAAAAACAAATATGTCCGGAGCCGCAAAAAATAAAAAGCCTTATAATGAAGGCAACACGTTGTGAATCATGGAATCAGACTTTATGATGGGTAATTTCTCCGATTACTTTTGGGCCCTCAAAAAGTGGCGGGTATTCATACAAACAACTAATTCCTACACTAATGAAAGAAGTTCGTTTCATTTACAATCCATGAGGATTGTGTCCACGTGCCAACATTTATGGATTTTACTGTCAAGCTTTGCACAGCTCTTTTTGAAAATGAGAGAAATGCCAAATAAAAAAAGCTGCAATAAAACAATTATTAGCATATTCATATTTTCCAACTCAAGGCAAAATGAGCAGATGACATTTAAAAGGATCACATACTGTCGCTATTGGATGACTAATTCTTTTCAATTTATTTTTTGTGCGTGCGCGTGTTGGTTTTAAACAACAACAGTGAAACTTTTAAAATAGTCTAGATCAATAATAAAATATTTCATGCTCACGCTTCAGCACAAAGAATACAAAGGCCAGACTGGAATTTTTCGAGGAGGGGTCAAAGTCGTTCGGACAAAGATGAACAGCGAGCATAATGGCAGAAAGGCTAAGGTTTGAAGAAAGAAAGGAACTGCTCATGACACAAGCATAAAAAGCCGAGCAGCAATGCTCATTGTGGGTAAAGTCTCGTATTGGGCATGAATGGCTTCTTCTTGCATATATTTACTCATTCTCATTAATCGAACACATTGATGGCAGCATCAAAAGGAACTCAGAAGTCGACGGAAACATTTAAAGAAATTTGAAGAACAATGTAGCCAAACTGAGTGTGAGGTCCTCTGTTTTGCAGAAAAACTTGGATTTGAAACGCAGCCAAAACAACAAAGGAATTCATTCTGGGGTAACAAGTTAGACAAGCTAAGACGATCTCCAGACTTAAACGCCATAGAGATTGTATGACACCTGCTAAGGTAAAGAGGAAACTGATGGGAGTAACACACCGGCCACCCCTCCCAAACTCGCCTTCAAACAGCAAAAACTGCTGAAAGAGAAAGCAGAAGTTTTGGTGGTGTCAGTGGGTCACAATGCTCGATGCAATTCTAGCCAATTGCACTGAATTAACATCTCTGCGGAAGCACAGGGAAGACTCCAGCAGCTCCATTGTGTTTGTTCACACACATGGACTCTCACTCTCATACACACACACACACACACACACACACACACACACACACACACACACACACACACACACACACACACACACTCTTCCTGTGTCACAGCATAAGTGATATGGTTGAGAATGAGAAATGAGAGGAATAAGAAGAATAAACAGCATCAAGGCTTACTTCTATTTTATAAACATGCAAATAAAGTGCACTATGCGTGTGTGTGTGTGTGTGTGTGTGTGTGTGTGTGTGTGTGTGTGTGTGTGTGTGTGTGTGTGTGTGTGTGTGTGTGTATGCTTGGGGCGATGCCAAGAGACCACAAAAAAAGGAGAGGTAAAAACTCCTGTTAAAAACTACCCCCCCTCCCCCCCATATTTGCATTAATGAAACTTGACTCCTGGAGGAGGCCTCACCGTGCAGAGGTGCAGCGTTCAATTCCGGCTTCGGCCCCCTTGTGTGGAGTTTGCATGTTCTCCCTGTGCCTGCGTGGGTTTTCTCCGGGTAGTCCGGTTTCCTCCCACATTCCAAAAATATGTATGGCAGGTTAATGGAACACTCTAGTCTAAATTGTCCGTACGTGTTAGTGTGAGCGTGGATGGTTGTTCGTCTCTGTGTGCCCTGCGATTGGCTGGCAACCAGCTTAGGGTGAACCCTGCCCACTGCTCAAAGACAAGTGGGATAGGCTCCAACACGCCCACAACCCTTGTGTGGATAAGCGGATTAGAACAAGGATGGATGGACTCCTGGAGGAGTTTGTGTGTCTTTCTACATCTCCATCATGAACATCGCCAAAAGATTGGGCTAAATATGATATATGACGATATTTTGGGTTCACATGGCCTAGGCTGCTCATCAGAGCAACGTTTTCAAACTTTCGCCAAAGCATTCTGAGGTCCTCTATGTCCAACAGGGAATCTCGGTGAACTAGCACATTCTCAATCCATTTTTCATTAATATGTGGACTCTAATTATCTTGCCCGCCCGCACATTCGCACTGATTCCATTTAGCAGGCCATCGCCCACCTCTGGATCCCTGTGTCTGAGCCAAATAAAGGACTTGGTGAGGGAAGCTTGTGAGACGGTCTCTCTTGACTGCGCTCTTGAAATATACACGCAGAGTGCAACCAGTTCATCAGAAGAGAAAAGCTTTTGAAGAGGAAAAACAATATGGCTCACTTCTATGGAGCCATACAGCGGCTACTAACATTGATGACATACTGCACCCTGCAGGACAAGCTGAAGAACAGCACAGTATATATCGGCCTCAAAAAAAGTGTCCCGCTCACGTTATAGTCCCATTTTTTTCTTTGCTTGTGCTTGTAAAGTTAATAGGCGGGTAAAACCCATCAATTAAGTAGGAAATTACACCTCCAAGTACATGTTTATGAGTTTTATACTGTATGTTACTAAATGTGTCGGCCAGCAAGCCGTTCATATTTGACTGTGAATTTACTGTCCTTATTAAAAATAAAGGGAAAAAAAAGAAAGTCCCGCCATGACAATGAGTTCCTCCATGTATGACAGACCCTCAAAACCGGCAGCTTTCACAAAAGGGCTTTTAAATGTAAACTAATGCCATGTTATAAGTTTGTGAGCACCATTTAGTGTACAGTGAATCTGACCGACATGTTTTTGTCGCTATTGAAGACATTTTTTAGAGTCATCGTGGCTTTTGCAATAATAATAATCATGTTTGGTTACTCACTGAAGTTGTGCGCAATCTTCTGGTTGAGCATGATGTGTTGCGTACTGCTGGGCTCCGGTGCTGCAAAGGACCCGACATTTTTCACTGAAAATTGCATGTACAAACGCCTTGTGTTGACTTCAACTCTTCGCTGGCTTCCTTTCTCCCAAAATGATTTCGCGATCTGCAGAGAAACAACAGATTTGCCATCCCTTCATACCCCAGATTTCATCGTTATCGGTTAATACATCACAGCCTATCACACCAATCCCCATAAACTGTAGAAATATGAGACCTAATCAATTGGTGAGGTGTTCAGTGGTGTGGTACCTTGTCAGGTCCAATTAGGTCCCAGTGGAAAGCCTTAGTGTGGATGTTTCTTGGACTGAGGTTGAACCTGAGGGGTAAAGGTGGCGGCGGTGGTATTGTCTTGGTGGAGGAAACTGTGTCCTCTTGTGATCCTGTTTGATTGTTTTTGGGGTCCATGCTAGAGGGTGGGGGGCCGGGGTGGGAGAGGGTAGGATCAGGAGCAGCCTGTTTTGGGACATCAGGAATTTCTGGAGAGGAACTTTGATTCATTTCACCAGCCAAATTTGGATCTTCATAAAGATCCTCTCCAGCAGACTCGAGGTCCGAGTCGTTATTGTCCTCCCCTACGTCTTCTGCTATGCTGAGATGTCGGAGGCTCTCGCCGCCCATAAACATGCGCTCGCTCTTTGACTTTCTTTTCCAGTCCGAACACAACTTGCTGATAGCGTGGACCCAAGCGTCTCGCTCCGTCTGCACAGCACCGGGAAGCGGCTGACTCGAGGGGGGCACTCTGAAGCTGTAGTGAACCAGTAAACCACAATATCTTGATCCTTTGTACTGCTTTGATTGAATATTTAGTTGCAAGGTGCATGATACACTGTTAGTAGGAATGTCACGAGAAGTGTGTTTTAAAAAGTCAAATTAAATGGGATTCTTGTCTACAACTACTGTCAAAGCACCCTACAAAGCACTTTCTTTCTTGAAATAATTGCCCAGTTACATGCTGTCTCGCTGGTATGTAATGATGTCATACTATTAGCTGACAAAGCTAGCTAACGCCATTCTATCAGCACGCAGCCTGAACAGGATTTGAACAAACGTTGCTTTTTAAACAGACATGAACTGTTATGCTTGGTAGAAAGAATATTTAGCTTTTCTTGCCATTATTCTAGCCTTGATCTTCTCCTAGAGCAAGTTTCAAAATAGAAAAGTTACAAAGAAGCTTGATAGAAGAGTAACCCATGCATGTTCACCGATGATGCTTCTGTTAAGCATCAATACAGCTACCCATTTTCTATTGCGCTTGTCCTCATTAGGGTCACGCGTGAGCTGGAGCCTGTGCCAGCTGACTTTGGGCAAGAGGCAACGTACTCCCTGGACTGTTCGCCAGCCAATCATAGGACTTTTTTGAAGGCAGAAAATGAAAAATGTTTTCATTCTTTTCCCTTCAAGATAGCATAAGTATGATTGCTGGTCAATAACATTCGCAATCGGAATACAAAATATTCCGATTCATTTATAGTCATCTTGACACAGAGACCTCCACTCACTGGTATTCATTTTTGCGAGTGACGAGGGTGAAGGTATCGGCACTGAGAGGTTTCTGGACACTGGTGTCTCCATCCGACAGATGGATCACAACGCTTACAGGCGTCAAGGTCATCAGTTCACCATCGGCGGCGCCACGTCGACTGAAAGGGGTCAGTGTTAGCTGGCCAGGGTGCAGCTGGACCTCATATCTGGAATGACAGCAGAGGAGATCATGTAGTTTTTTTTAAGTGGCTAGGCATGTGTAACAAAAATAGCATAGTTCCACTAAATTCTGTCCGTCCCTCAAGCAGACAACATGGCCCAATTAGTAGCCTTTGGAAGGACCAGTTTTGAGTGTCATTTTCTTTGAAAGTTGGGCAACCATGTCAACCTAGATTGGCACAAAGTTTCATGTGCCTGAAGTAACAAAGCAGCCCCAAATATTGCAGTTCACACCATGCTTCACTGTGGGAACAGTATTTTTAGGGTTGAAGGCCTTCCCATTCCTTCTCGAAGCATCAATTTTACAGTGTCACTTCTTGAATGGGTAACTGGGCAATTCACTTCAACATGCTGTGTTAATCAGAAAACAACTGGCTACATATTTCTGCATGTGTTGAAAACACAACGTAACTGTACAATAGTTCCTTGGGGGCTAATTCTTTTGACCGTAACTACACTACACAACATTATTATTCGATCTCGCCCATTTGCCTTCATTCTGGAACTAACCTGATATCCAAAACAAAAGTGAAGTAAATGACTTAGAAGAAAGTGCTTGTACTTGACCCATCGAAATGATGCCAGCCCGCCTCTGTGCAGCATAAGGACACCTTCCCGTAGGGTTTGAGATGCTTGAGGCTGCTGGTGTGTGCCTACACTGCCCCCCTCTGCATGACTGTAGATGTTTCTGTAAATTATCTGGTTAACAAGCTGCATTATCTGGAGAAAAAGAAGCACAGATGAAAATGGAGTGACAGCAAAAATGTACACGTCCTTTGTGTTACAAGTGTCAAAATCCAACCTTATGCTTGTCGTCCACTGAAGTGGCTTCCAGTTCGTAATCATGGTGGCCTTTGAACGAAATAGAGAACCTGGAACCGACTCCGTCATCACAACTTTTGATGATGACAAAGGGAAGTTGGCGCTTGACGATGCCTTTCTCGATCGTGCACAGCATTTTGGTGGTGAAATCCATCTGCATGGATGGATGGATGGATGAATGGATGGATAGATAGATAGATAGATAGATAGATAGATAGATAGATAGATAGATAGATAGATAGATAGATAGATACCTGAAGAACCCTCTTCTTCCACCTATAGCGTCCATGCTTGTGCACGCTGAAGTTGTACTGTGAGGGAAGCTCCTCCTGTGTCACAAGACACAACATAGTAAATATTGAATACAAAAAAGAACTGATTACTTTCCCATCTGAACAAATCATCTACCAAATTTCTTATTGGTTGAATTGGACACATTCCTCATAACTGTCCAACAACTGCGTAAGTCACATTTTAGAGCAATAATAATAATGCAAAGCACTGCATAAAAGACATGAGCAAATGTGTATTCTTATGTCCGCACCTGGTTCATGACGACAAAGTGATGGAGATCGGCTCGTGAGTGAAAGTTTTTGGAAAACATTTGTGGTGGACAGGGAAACACTGTGTTTTGTAATATAGCTACCTGCTTTTAACAGCAGATGCGAGAGGACATGGAGTACGTCATTGTGAAGTGGATTTAGAAGGTTTCCACTTGAGAGTGATGCAATGAAAAACGACACTTTTATATGGCGCGTTGAGTGCTGAGATGACTCTTGTGACATCTCAAAGAAGAGAATGAATGAAGGACTGTGAGTGCGAATGAGCACAGCTCACCAATGAAAACGGATGGATGGACTCTCATGCTTGTCAGTATATCACCTCATATCATGGCAATCCCCCGATAGCATGCAAATATCCCCCATATTTGTCATATCTGTGCGCAATTAAGTTGTCACGGGATGATAGCATCATGACTTCAAGACGGTACGAATCGGATGTTGTCTCAGATGAAAGGTTCTGACCTCCTCGGGAGCACTCTGCAATTTGGTTAACTGGCCTCGGTCCTTCCTGGCGAGGTCCAAAGCGTCGTCGATGGACAGCTCTCCATTCTTCACCTTGTTCATGATGCTCAGCTGCATCTCGTTGCTCAGCTGAAATCACAGCACATCACAACTCAATCAGGATGCATACAGTCTCATTTCATGTTTGGCGTTGAAAATGAATTCATTCTTCTGACCGTCCGTGTGTTTCCAAGTCAAACTTTCAATATTATTGCTTCGTTCATCTGCATTTTTACCATGCAACAATTACCTACCAATATGGGTCTAACGGACATCTTCAAAGGGTGAGCAGTTTTACTTTTAGTTTTATTATGCACTTTTGTTTATACTTGTATGAAAATGTTAAAAGATTACTGAAAAAGTTGCTTGCAACAGTCAATAAATGATTCGTAATTCATTATCGTACAAAAGTATGTGCTAAAAATAATTTTTAAGTCTTGTATTTATTCATTATTTAACAATTAGGCCCTCTTTTTGTGCTCAACTCAATTCTAGTGCAAAGCGGCATCTAATGTGTACATGGATGGATTTTACTTTCTTTTGGATTTTTGTAGATGGACGCAATTAGAAAGGGGCGTTTGCGCCATTGTGGGAGTGAACACAGGTGACTTGATTCCTGACCAATCGAAGGGCTCCCCTCAATCCTTTTATATTTGACGCAGGAGAGTCACACTCCACTTTGATTTTATGGAGGCAAAATTTGACCATGCAGAAAATTGAAGAGCACAGAGAACATTTATAAGGAATAGCAAGCAGAGCATCACGGGTGGATGATCACAGATCACCGCTGAGAAGTGAACACACGAGAATGTCTTACACTTTCTGTGACAGAACCTCCCTGCATGGCTGTGCTGTGGCCCAGGAGGGTGTTTAAAAAAATAAAATAAAAATGATGATGATAATAATGCATTAAATTAATTTAATTTAGCATTTTTATGAACGCAATACGATGTCATTCACTCCAAATCTGTCTTCCTGGGCCGGGATAAAACCCACCAAAATCAGATTACACCACCTGCGCCACCGCTTAGACCTGATTTTACCTGATCTAAAGTGCAACGCGCTGTTAAAGAGGAACCACTGCAGTTGATAAAATCTTTTCGGTGATTGTGTTTGCACACATTTAAAGTGAGGAAGTCGTGAAAGTTTCAGATCTTTTCATAAACGGAACCAAAGTCTACCTTCACTCTGGGCACGATTACACTTTGGACAAGTTGTCTCTTAACATGATCTTTCTTGTCCTGATAAGTTTTCTCTCACCTGTGGCAAGTCTTCAATACATCTCTCCATTCTGGACACATTGTCCTTCTTCTTTGCTCCCAAACTCGGCATTCTCAAAGTTAGTTTCAGTGCACCTTCACACTCCACTAGAGTTGTTTGTTTCTTTTCCCGCACCAATCTGCTCCTTAAAAGAAAAAAAAATCAAACCGCTGTTGTTATACTGTGTGTGGCAGTTCCCCGCCCACTATCCGCTCAGGTTCCACTTTTTGTAGGTATGTCAGACCTGACTAGGCTCCGCCTCTCTCCCCCTACCTTTCGGCTTTCTCCTCATGTAACACACGTCTGCACATGTGTACAGCACGCATAAAACAGTAACACACTCCAGCACGTAGACAACAACATTAGTGTTGGGAAATTTACCCTCACAGGGAAGTTTGAAATGAGGAAGATGGAAAAAAAGGGACATGGGAACCAAACGTGAAAGGCAGACTACACCTTCAGTTGCAAGGCACATATAACGAAGGACAACCTTTCAGTCTCTCATCCACAATGTCAAAGATGGACAGACAGCAAGTTTGTCACTGGTTTGGTTACATAGTTGGATGTCACTAATTGTCTTGATTGTGCTTGTGAGTGTGTGTGGGGGGGGGGGGAAAAAAAATACAGACAGAGAGAGAGAGAGAGAGAGAGAGAGGCAGAGAGAGAGAGAGAGAGAGAGAGAGAGAGAGACAGACAGAGAGAGAGTACGTGAAAGAGAGCGAGAGAGAGAGAGAGAGAGAGAGAGCGAGAGAGAGAGAGAGAGAGAGCGAGAGAGAGAGAGAGAGAGAGCGAGAGAGAGAGAGAGAGAGAGGGAGAGAGGGAGCCAGAGCGAGGGAGCGAGAGTGAGAGAGCGTGGGAACGAGAGAGAGAGAGAGAGAGAGAGAGAGAGAGAGAGAGAGAGAGAGAGAGAGAGGTTACTTGTGGTGACTACAACTGGTAGCATTAGCTATGCCCACCAAATCCACTAGATGGCACAATTTTTGTCCTTTGATACTTTATTTCATAGGAAATGCATGTATTGTAAATACTGTAGAAAATGATCCATTCCCGGGTCAAACCTTTCTGAACTGCTCAGGCAATGTTTTAAGTGATATTTAAATATTCTTGTACAGCTTTTTGAAAGAATTCATAGCCCAATAGTAAAATATACTTAACTTGAATGAGAAAATACTTCTTAATGACATAAGCGTTACATGAAGGAATTACAAGTGTAAAAAGAAGTTAATAAATGTTGATTGTAAAGTAAAGTAGGTTAGGCTGGGCAAAAAAATATGCCCTCAAAGGCCACATTCAATTTGTTAAATGACAGATGGGTCCAATCATATGTAGATCAATGTATAAAGAAAGAAACAAACAAACATTACGTACTATTTTTCAAAGCAAGCTCAACAAATAAATGAATGCAAGAACTTGAAGGCATTTTGATAGTGATTAAAGAACTGAATAGGCTGGATATGGAAGATCCCGAAGGAAGGAAATTCAAAGAAAAATATTCTTCGTGATACAACTTGAAGCAATCGACCAAACTTTTTAAGGTGATCAGACTGCAGTTATACAACGGTGAACGTGATTCCGCTTGCTTAAACTGCTCCTTCTTTTGGAATAAGATTCTGAAAAAAAAACAACAAAGAAAAAAAGCAAAACATATGCTGCTTTGAGGGAAAGTGATTTGGAGACACACAGGTTTATGTTTTCATAACATATCTTGTGTATTGTACATATTATTACATCCTTTTTTTGTGTGTGTGTGTTGCTTGATTAAACTTTTCAGTACCTTCCTATTTGGGTATTTACCCCTAACGATAAATTACATGCATGCACATGTTAGGCATTCATCAGATGAAATCAGATGAGAATTTTTTTTTTCACACCTCTGGGCGCACCACAGAAACTCAAATCACTTTTGAGGGAAATCCCTGGGTGAGAATTCTGCAGGGGGATTCCCTTGTAGTTTTGGTGTGTGCTGTACATGTGTGCTCAAGAACAACAGTGCTACGACTTCCGCTTTTGCGGCGTGCTACTGTATACTGTACTGGTAGGCTGATTGTAAATGTGGTTCACAACTCCTACTCTGGCATTCCTTCACTGGCTCCCTATACATTTTAGAGTTCTTTTCAAGATCGTATTATTTGTTTTCAAATCTTTAAATGACCTCGCGCCACCTTACCTCTCTGAGCTCATCCGCCCCTTACACACCTGCCCGGCGCCTCAGGTCCGCGGACCAGACATTATTAGAAGTACCAAGAACTAGACGGAAGCTCAGAGGGGATAGAGCCTTTTCCATTGCTGGTCCCTCTCTCTGGAATGACCTCTCACTGAACATTCGGCAAGCCCCCTCGCTGCCCATCTTTAAAACCCGCCTCAAAACTCACGTGTATTCATTGCCATTTGACTCAGCATGACTCAGATCTGATCTTAGTTTTACTGTTTGGTGCCTTCTACCATCTTTGTTACTGATTTATAGCTTTGTTGTTATATATATGTTAGTTGCTCCATTTACAGCACTTTGTATGCAGCGATGGCTGTTTGAAAGTGCTCTATAAATACAGTTGAGTTGAGTTGAGTTGAGACTGTGTGGAACTTTGTCGTGGGGGTGTATTTCTCAGTGGTAGAGCATTTGACTGCAGATCAACAGGTCAACTGGTTCAAATCCAGATGCTCCCTCTGGCAACTGTGTAGTTCATCTGCAACGCTTTGTCCCAGCCTGTACAGTCTGCACTTCTTCTTTCTCCATGCAGGGTGTTGATGCTCTTTCGGAGACCAGAACCTTCAGCTGTGCAACCCCCCTTCTAAGGACTTCCACAATCACTCTGGGATTTCCACTCTTTCTACAGTTCTAAGCTCTGTTTAAAAATTCATATTTTACGATTTGCATACTTTTTTTTTTTTTTTTGTCTTTGACTTGTCACACATCAAGCAATGCAGACGAACACAAGTGAACGGGCCAATCGTTACAAAATACAAGAGATGTTCCATACAATTTTCTTTCCAGACCATTGTCGGTACCAGTTTTCAACTCTTGAATGTTCACCAATCCTGATACCAAGTAAGTGATAAGACAAGTACTTTTGATTCATAAAATGAATATTAAGTCGATGTCAGATCATTTTAAAGAAAGGCAGTTTTGTTTATCTTTGACAAAAGGCACAAAAGTCAGACTGCAATAGAGAATTTAAGTCTAAATGTATGGGTGGCCATTGAGAATAGGAATTTCAGGAAAATATGTCAATTTTCCAGAATGGCTGGTGTATTTCCATGCCGTTCTTGGCCATCACGGCTGCAAGCAGACATGTACTACTGTATTATTGTTTTTACTCGTCAGGATTGTCAAGGAAGAAGTCACATTAAAATAATGCAAAGAGAACAAACAAGTGAGAAATAAATGAAAGAGTGTGGATATTTGAAAGGCTCTTGCCTCTAGTCATTCCAACTGAGACTCTCCACTTTGCTTTTTGAAATTATAACTGTTTACTGATTCAAACAATACTAACTTCAAACTGTTCAGCCTATTTGAGACATATTCCATAACATCCAGTGTTGTTTCAGATTTTTAGCATTCACGTGCAGTTCCTACAGAAATTGAATTCTCTAGTTGTTATTAATAAGCTGTTGTTTAATAAATGAATGAATTCATGTTTTCATGGTCGAGTTGAGTTCAAAATGAGGCTGTTGAATGTCTTCCTGGAAATGGACGTTGGTGAATTGGAGAACTGAGGAAAGTCCCTGAAACTCCACCCGCTTCCATCTGGTCACCTCCCACTTTAAAGGAGCAGCCGACCGAGTTTGAGCGATCCACGAGCAGCAGAGAGAAAGACGTTTTCCACTCGGGAGCTCTCCACTTTGACCATGGCGACATGGATGGTTTCAACAATGATGACGGTGCTGTGGGCAGCTGCGGTAAGTACAGCGCAGTGCTCCTTAACGCTGTGCACCAAATTACGTCTTTTAAAATGTGTGGATCAACGCGAAAATAAATCAATCGATAAATAAATGCTAACCAACTAACTTTCACTTTCGTTTTCACACCGACAGTGGTGTACAGTTCAGTTCGTACGCTGACCACTGAACACGGGTTTGTTTCGTAAGTCCGAATGCATAGTTTACCAAAGCCAATGCAGTCATACAATTATAATTGCAAAAAATATGTTTCATGTTCGTAACTCCCTTCTAATATTTAAAAAATAAAGTCAACGCAGAACAGCAATTACTGTGGTTACCGAGCTGCCTTTGACATGTCGACGTAGTGAATGTCATCATAAACTGCATTCATGTCCCCATTTTAGCAGCTAATTTGAAGTAAACGTTTTTTTTTTCGCCATCTCGCGAGCAGTTAGGAGCAGGATGAAAGGGGACGGAGGGAAGTGAGACCTGTGCTTCAATTATTTTCTGTTAAACCCCACTAGGAAGAAGAAAATATTTCGCGTGGCCCTCAACTCTCCACTGCGACTATAAATAAATAGTATAATTTGTCTGTAAAATTGTTCTCATTACACCTCTGCATCACTTTGTATCCTAATTAATATTAAAGCAAACAAAAAAGAAAAATAAAACTGCTGAATAACTGTTAAAATTGCTTATACTTCCTCTGATACTTGTCGGATAAAACCATTTGTTGGGCAGAAAAATAAACAATCTAATGACTAACAGAGTGCGCCTTCTTGTTCTGCTTATTTTAAACCAGTTTACTGTACGCCATTACAGTAGTAATTATGAAGTCCATGTTTATTTGCAACCTATAATTCTATATAACTGACCCGTTCATTCTTAAAGGAAGTGACTATGAAGTCTTGCGTTTTGTTTTCCAGGTGATTATTTCAGCTCAGCCTCCGTGTGACCCGCTAACTCAGTATGAACTCAGTGGACAGTGCTGCCAAATGTGTCCTCCAGGTAAATCACTATTAGCCACCGTTTTATGTTAAAATGTATACACACATACAAGCACATAAAAAAATAAAGTAACGTGATTTATTTTTTTCAAATGCTTGCCCCTTAAATGGAAAACCGACAAGTGACCAATGAGCAATGCTAACAAGCTAAGCTAACAGTCTTCTGGCTCAAACAATGTTCATTCGACAGCAATAAAGTGAAGATGCACATATCTCAAACCTTGAAGTTATCTTTCACATGACTAAGTCTGCCTTTTAACAACATAAACACGATTTCAGGTACTAGCATGTCTCAGTTGGGCACGTGCAAGGCGCCTCACTGCCTCCAATGCGACCAGGATGAATATCAGGACACATACACGACGGAGACAAAGTGTAAACGTCAGCCATACTGCGACCCGAGTGAGACATCTTCACCGCGCATCCATCACAGCCTGATTTTGTCAGTGGTGCTAAACTGTGGTGTTCTTTTTTTTTTTCAGATAAAAACTTTCAGTTTGCAGAGCAGACGAGCAAAACCGAAGAAAGCATCTGCATGTGTAAACTTGGATTCCATTGCTCCAGTGATGTGTGCCTCACCTGTGTACCGCACAGGCCTTGTGAGCCTGGATGGGGGGCAATTATTAAAGGTGTGGCATCTTTAATTTTGCACTGTACATACTATGTTCTTCTTGTCATTCGATGCTAGATTTCCCTTTTTTGTTGCAGGGAATCAGACCCATGACACGGTGTGTCACAAATGTCCTGAAGGGTCATTCTCCAACCAGACCTCGTGGCACAGCGACTGTTTGACATGGACCAAGTCAGTGCAATTGCAAGTTTAATAGAACACTTGTAGCCATTCAGAGTTGAAAAATATGTCTTGCATCAAATCATCTTGACTGTAAAGTATGTCGAACACACAAGGAATTTGTCTTCGGTAGTACAGGCTACACTAGTATTGCAATAACAAGCAACTACGATAAACAAAGACGTGACATATAAGTATCAAAAGACTTTCCGTCATGTCAGGGTACCATTGTGCAGCAATACCACCCAATGACTGCCATTCGACAATGTGCAGAGTCATCAAGCAGAGATAAAGTGATCAGTGCTGCAATACGATGATGGTTGTGCAGTTGGTGCAGATAATCGTTGCACCATTTTTTTAAGTGACCAGTAGCAGTAATCGTAGTACCACTTTAGGTGTGCAATTACACAGAAAGTCCTTGAGTGCTTTAAAGTGTCTGGTGGTGTGGAATATTGATCGAGGACAATTATTCAAGTATGCAGAGAGCTGAAGCTCCAATGATTATTGTGGTCATACTGTTCCAAGGGGGTGTGGAAAAATGCAAAGAGCCACCTTAGATTTGAGTTACTGTTTTATGTTTTATTGTAGTCTGGTAAAATCAAAACTACCCAGATCTCATTTAACACACTACCATCCTCCGCAGGTGCAAGAGCGGTTACGTTGTCAGGCAAAGCGGCTCAGCTCAATCTGATGTCGTGTGTGGTAAGTTCTACGCCCGCGCCGAATGTGATGTGATGAGGCTTGTCACCTTTCTGTGGTTTATTCTGTGGATCGTCAAACCGATACTAATATACAGTTTACGCAATATTGAACTTTATAGACATCAATCTGACATATCTATTGGCTAAATCATGGATTCTCAAACAAGTACCAACTTAAAAAATATGTATATTGTGCTCTACAAGTACTATCATGGCCAAAATTAAAATACGGTAGCGTAGTAAATGAGGTTGAGGTTTTATACCAGAAACGTATATATTGTTGTAAATCTTTGTAACATGATGTACAGTTTTCACATTAAAACTGCTGCAGCTATTTGATTTCCTGTGCGGTCTGACTGCACATTAAATATAAGAACCTCAAAAAAAGAAAGACACGAATAGTGAGTCTTGCACATAAAAGTTGGATTAAAAAAATGAAACCAAAATGCACGTTTATAAATAAATATTTCATACATCATATCTAAAAGTTAAATACAAGTGAATTATATATGGGCTGCTTCCTCTACTGCAATATGTTCTTAATAATAATGAATGATATTCATCCATGTGAACACATTGAATGATTTATCACAATGATTGCGAAAAAGACAAATATATGCAATACTATTCCTGGAATATGATGTCCCATCACCCGTGTGCTATTTTTAGAACAGATATATATGTGTGTGTGTGTGTGTGTGTGTGTGTGTGTGTGTGTGTGTGTATGTGTGCTACTCATGTGGGGCTCATGCTCATGGCTTGAATGCACATACGGACTTTCTGTAAGTCTCAAATGAATTAGTATCTATCTTCATTTTCTCACCATCACTTGTTCATTTGTTCGAATATATTTGACTATACTTCGTGTTTGAAATGGATTTATTTTTATTTTGGCATTTAAGACTGTTGTTCCTCTGGTGTACCACTAGAGGGAGCCAATATGCCATCATTGGACAAATACCACACTGAGAATCACTGTTCTAAAAGACGTGTTGATTTTTCAATGAATGAATTACATTTTTTTTTTTACACGCTCCGATTCTACCTTGTTGCATATACCTTCTCCAGGTTAATTACTCCAGTTTTACTGTGTAAACAGGTGTTGTTACTGTGTTGCAGAGAACCAGCGGATGCACGTCATCATTGCCTGTGTTTTTATACTTGGGATGGGTATCCTGCTGGCAGCTGCAGTCAAGATTTGGAGCTCAAGACGTACGTATTTCCTTCATTGTTAAATAATTTTTTTCCAGACCTCCTCAGTTTAAGATTGTTTGTATGGAATATACACCAACACATCTACATGACAGAAAACGTTTTTTTTTTTTTTTGCACTAAAGACTTGACATTTCGGGTCATGATGGGGAAAACGGGCGGCCCGGTAGTCCAGTGGTTAGCACGTCGACTTCACAGTGCAGAGGTACCGAGTTCAATTCCAGCTCCGGCCTCCCTGTGTGGAGTTTGCATGTTCTCCCCGGGCCTGCGTGGGTTTTCTCCGGGTGCTCCGGTTTCCTCCCACATTCCAAAAACATGCATGGTAGGCTGATTGAACACTCTGTATTGTCCCTAGGTGTGAATGTGAGCGTGGATGGTTGTTCGTCTCTGTGTGCCCTGCGATTGGCTGGCAACCGATTCAGGGTGTCCCCCGCCTACTGCCCGAAGACAGCTGGGATGGGCTCCAGCACCCCCCGCGACCCTAGTGAGGATCAAGCGGTTCGGAAGATGAATGAATGAATGAATGGGGAAAATGAGTCTTCAAGATGATTCATGAGCAAGTTGTTTACTGAGGATTCTAGATGGCATGCTATGTTCAACATGGAGCTGAAAGTACGCTGACTTGCCATTTCTTAATAACCTGGCCCGCAAGGGAATTCTCACGGCATTTGTGAGTTTACAAAACCCCGAGAAGCCATCATGTTCCCAACCCACTGATTTGTTCTGATACGCACCACTGATGGGGGCTATGGGGATGAATATGCGGCTGTGATGAAAACTTTTTGACAATCGTCTTGATTCAAAAACATTGTGTGATTTTAGATTCCCTTTCTCTGCATATTTACGTTACAAAAATGAGAACTGTCACTCAATCCCATGATACCATTTGTACAAACCATTGAGGTAACAGGACTCAGTAGGTCAAATATCGCCTTGTTAGCGCAGCAGGTAGCGCGTCAGTCTCATAATCTGAAGGTCGTGAGTTCAATCCTCACACAGGGCAGAGGTTTTTCATAGTCCGCTCTAAAGTTTAATAGTGAGAATTAGCAGGGAGCACATTCCCAGATTAAAAAAATTCCCCCGTTTTTTTTTTTAATCAAAAGTTTTTGTACAAATTTTTGTACACTGAATTAAATAAACAAAACCATCAAGGCACTTTAACCCTCAATTCTGTGATCTGACATGAGACACCTTATCCACTAGATTGCATCATCACAATGGGACATCTAATATAGTTGCTGGAACCCCCTATTTTTAGGGAGGGGTTAGGGGGAGGGGGGGCACTACCCAATTTGCTCGATCATATTCTGACCAGTTCTCCCTTTCTCATGTCTGTGTTAGGTAGACGAGAAGATATCAAAGGAAAGGTAAATAGTGTGTGTTGTGTGTTTTCATTACCTGTCTCTGTACATGATTGTTAACATTTAGCAACAAAGGACAACCATGGCAGGCATCTTTCTTCTTGACGTACGGTTCCATGCTAAGCTAAGCTAAAGTAAGACGCTTATCCTGGTAAATATCACTCAGTGCACTTCAAGCTAGCTGCCCTTTTAAAAGCACTCTTTCCTTACGGTTTGCCTACATTTATTCACCCTAGGTGAGGCTAGTTTCCAACCAAAACTTTGTCTTTGTGTGTGTGCAGGATGACGAAGACCCCCCGAAAGAGGCGTTAATTGCCTTTGACGGTGTCCACGAAGAGCCCATGTCGCCTGGAGTGCAGGTGTCGCTAGCAGACAGCAGCGGCACGGGGGAGCCAGAGGAGAACGAGGACCGTCCCAGTCAGGTGGCCCTTTTAAGCGATAAAGGCAACTACGTGACGCAGGAGAACGGAAAAGCAGAAGTACTCTCCCGTCAGGAATCGCAAAGCATGACCGGGACCAGCGAAATGTCATGCTGAGCTCTGTGCCATACAGTGCTTAATAGTTTCTGCACGTGGTACTTGACAACCACCCACGTCCACTTCATGACTGCTTTAATTTAATTTTATTTTTGTCACATGATGGTGTTGCTGTTGTGTGACAGACCTGTCCGTTGTATCAATTCAGTCCCTGCTTCCGAATAGGTATCAGCCCCCTAGCGGAGGTGGGACGACAAGTGGCGAGAGCCGAAATCAAGGGTGTGAAGTTTAACGCTGATATGTGAAGACTCATATTTTAACACTCACTTCTTGCAGCCTGATCTAATTATCCGTCAGCAGGATTGTGCAACATTTGCCACACGATGCCGTTTTCATGACTGTGTTAAAGGCAAAGGCGAGTGAAACGTAGTTGCCAATTTTGCAGGATCTTTGTGTGAAAAGTTAAGATTTACATGTTGATACAAAAAGACGAGCTAATTTATATTCACACTTGTGTGACAGTTAAGTGTTTATGCTACTTTGTTTCTTGTTCGTTAGCCTTGGCTTAGCACTCTAAATGTTATATGTATCTCTTATGTATGTTGTCTTATATGTACAAATGACATTGTAGCTTGTCCTTTAGCATTACATGATGCCATCTTTCGCAATTAAAAACCCTTCACGGGTGTCTAAATAACATGCCTGTGAGGTGCTAACTAATGTTTGAAGTATTTTGATGAGTATAAGTATTTTAATCTTAATAGATTAATAGCACATGTCACACATCCTGTTTCTTGTCTTGCTGAAATTAAGCAGTTGAAGCACTGGGGTTATTCACAAGCCTACGCATGCATTTCCAGCTGATGTGCCATTGAGCAAAGCAACTCACTCCACTGCTGCAATGGTGTGTTTTTTATCCAAAACGTTAAATGTGATTAGAGACGCATATTTCAAGAGAAAATTGGAATTGAATCTCCAGTCACAAGAAATGACTTCACAAGCCTAATGGACAAAAGTAATGAGACACATGGCGTGTGACTTATTAATTATTTGTCCCTTTGTGAAGTTGGAGCTCGCTAATGTTGGACTGGCAGGATTCTTCACTCATTCACTGCCAGCCCTCCAAGTTGAAAAGTAAATTTGACGGTTATTAATTCAAATCTCATTACAATGTGTAGATGGATACAAGATTTTGATACAAGAGCGGAATAAAAAGAAAACAGGTCTGAAATTTCTCCTAAATCGGGTTTTATTTAAGTAAAAATATTCCTCCATCAGCAGACAACAGGAAACATAATTTACAGGTTTGTTGGAAAAATACATCTACATTTATTTACATTAAAAACATCTTTGGTCTGTAAACAGATTTCCAGGGATGAGCTCCAATCCCTGTCGTCTGAGAGGCTAAAGTGCATCAATAGTAGACATTGTCTACGAATATTGAAGGGTGTGAGGGGTCGTTAGTGGATTTCGTGGGCAGTGTAATAGGTGGGCAGCAGACGTGCGCCTCTGGACGCCCACTCGGCCCAAATCCTCTCGGCAGACTGGTACGTGCGCTCTGCTGGTTTCTTCACTGACTCCGATGTGGCGGTCTCGGCCAGCGACCATATTTTGGGCTTTGGAGTGTCTTTGCTCTCCTGAGGTGAGGGTGTGTGATGGACCTGCAGGCGCACACCCTCAGCCCCGTCCTGCGATGCCACCCCCGCGTCCGCCACGTTCTCCGGCAAACTCTCGACGACCGGCCGCGCCGTCTCGTCCCGGGCGTCTGCGTCGCACCTCCTCAGAGGCCCCTCCTCCTCCTCCTCTTCATCCTCACTCTCCTGCTCCTCATCTTCTTCGTCCGACTTGGACCTGGAGGAGGCCCAGCTGACGCGGTTCTCCTTCTTGAGGCGGCGCCGCGCGTTGGCGAACCAGGTGGAGACCTGCGTCAGGCTCATCTTGGTGATGATGGCCAGCATGACCTTCTCGCCCTTGGTGGGGTACGGGTTCTTCAGGTGCTCGCCCAGCCACGCCTTCAGCGCCCCCGTGCTCTCACGGGTGGCCACCTTGGCCCCGCCTCGCCCGGGCTCCTCCGTCGGGCCGGGTCGGTAGGGCGGGAAGAAGGGGCCCCCACGGGCCAGCAACGCATGATGGTAAGGGGAGGCGGCGGTCTTCAGGTCAAAGGCGTTGCCCTGGTAATGAAACGCAGTTCGTGACATGTAGGCCAACACATATTGCATTGCAATCGTGATAAAAGTAGTGCTTTGTCGCCATCTTGTAGCATCTTGATGCCAAGGAACCGGAATATGTTGAAGTGAGCTGAGGAGCTTCATATCGTATCATATCAAAAGTAGTCTTTAGTTTTTTCGGGACGCAATAGTAAACCCTTGAGGGAGAAATACAGTAGTCTCAATTTTTTCCGATTTGAGGCAGCCTATCAGATGCAAATGGAGGGGGCTGACGGTATATGGACATAGACGTAGAATAATGATTAAAAAAAAAAAAAAACGATTATCCATATCATTATTGGTCAAGCACCAGGCAATAGGAAGGAACTCGTACGATTTTTTCACAGTTTTTTCAGAACAGGACGCACAAAAGGTCTCAAGAACGCCTGTCTGAAAACGAACACGACGTCTATTGTTTAACATTGATTTGGGCATTTTGCGCAAGATCCTCTCATTACTATAATCATCATTATAAGATCACGTCCACTTGAGCATTTATATTTCTCTGCATTTTAAACGTTTGTCCACATGCTAACAGAGCTTTTAGAAGATACCTATCTGTGCTTCAACTAATTGTTTACATTGTAATTGGACCATGCAGAAACGTCAAGATATGTCCCTCACGTTCAGTGTAAAACTCAACAATGAATACTGCTGGAATAATCTCTGTACCTTTACATACAACATATAGACTAGCTGCAACAAAATATTCAACACTGGATTGAAACGGTGGGAAAATCTCATCATGAAGTGGAACACATTTGCTTTTGCTGATGAAATGGACATTTTTTTTTCAAGCTGTTTGCTTTTGGCAAAGCAGGTATTTTCATTTGTGAATCTTCTGCAGAATGTTCTTTCTGCATTTGTACAACTGGATTCCATAACTTTGTGAGTCCACTTTTTGGAAAAGTATATTCAGAGTGCTTTCCAATGCGGTGCCACTTCATTGTGCTCAATGAAATCTCAAGATAACTGATTGGAATTCCGATATTTCCGTAACTTAGTCTTGTTTGCTAAAGTTTTTACACTACTATTTATTATTAATACTTTTAAAACTTGGAGTTGCACCCCGGTTTTGTTTTCTTGGCATTGTTTGAGGTTATGGGGGGAGTGGGGGGGTTAGAAATCCCAAAATGTGCTTCCTGATTCACAGCTTTTCGGTTAATTTGCTTCATATTTATAAGCAAAACTTTTTTACATACAAATATTTAGGCTACAGATGTAATTATGAAAATAACAAAGTAAATAATTGCATGTTGCGACTTGCGTGCAAACTTGGTTTACGCCGCCATAGGAATTGAAATTTTTTAAACCACTTATGTGGCATTTGGAACAATGAACCGTCTTGCATTCTATTGGCTGTGTTGCATCATATTGAGGAGTCTCAACCCATGCGATTGGTTTTCACATTCTGTGTATTTGCTCCATACAATTCCTACCGTAGTTCAAGCAAAACTACCATAAATGCCATGGCAAAGCGGCCGTTTTGACAAACACAACTTTGATCTGACCTGAAAGTCATAACTGAGTAAAAGTATCACATGTGCTCAGTATCAAAAGTAATTTTCAGACATTAAATATACTTATAGTCTTAATCGGAAAAAGATTTTAGTTGGATGACGTCATGAGGATTTTCTTTCCCACTAAAGTAAGGAATAAAAGCAAAGTAAAAGTTGACATTTTCTTTGGAGAATTTACAGGAGGAAAAGTATAACATTGCCAGAAATATAAATGAGAAGGTAAATACTCACCATGTGCGTGACGTGTCTGTGGTGATGATGGTGGACCGCCAAGGGGATCAAGTTGTATCCGTGTAGTCCTGAATAGGTGACGGGGAGCTGCTGGGCCCCCAGATAGGCAGGGCCCGAGCCGGGGTGTCCCACGGCCATCAGCCCCATGCTGCGGTCCGCAAAGAAAGCGCCAAAGTCGGGCGGCGAGGCGGGCATTTTTTTCCCTGCGTGCTGAGTGGTGATGAGAACAAGCGTTGTGGGGCTGCTGAGGGGACGTGCGTGGGCTTATATCCAGCCAGCTGCCCAGGAGGGACGAGGAGGAGGTGGTGGGGCTTCGCGCGGGGGGGTCAGTAGTGGTGGGGCACAACTGGTGTTGACTGACAGGTCAAGCTTTCACTAAATCCCATCAAAGCTCTGCTGGTCCTTTTAGTGTTTGGACGCGCACATTCAACCTTTGTTTCTAGAAGCATTAAAAAGGTCAACATTTTATTGGATTTGATTTGATACTTTATCGTTGTCGTCTGTGTGCATCTATGTACTGGACAACAAAAACGGAGACCAGAAGTTTAGTGACTATATTTTTTTTTTAAATGAGAGCACTACTTTGGTTTGTGGTTAGCTCAATATTTTGCTGTTATTTCTAAGGCTCTCAGAAAGACTATCTATCTATCTATCTAGCTATCTTTCTATCTATCTATCTATCTATCTATCTATCTATCTATCTATCTATCTATCTATCTATCTATCTATCTATCTATCGATCTAACCTGTTAATCTGGAAGTATTTTCCGTACTGTCACATCAAACACATTTGTATTAATATAAATGTCAGAGATTTAAATCAATACTCAGATGTGGTTGTTGTTCTTTTTGTATCACACTGCTTTTTTAACGACTTTTGACACGTCTCGCGAAAAAAAAAAAAAAAAGATGGTGGGTGAGGGTTCCCAAATGTAGTCACAACGCTGCACGAACCAGTTGTGCATCACAGCACTTTTGGCATGACGTGACAAAATTGAAGTGTATGACTTTGCTGCACAGACGTGTTATATTCAAATTATTCCTACTACAGTATTTGTGGGGAAAACAAAGTGTTTCTTTTGGTATGTTGCAGGTCGGCTATTGTTGTCTTAATGAAAGCAGGTTAGGGGAAACAGGTGTTGACTATGTATATGATAATTGGCAGATAACAGATGCTAATGAGTCTGTGTGTGTGTGTGTGTGTGTGTGTGTGTGTGTGCGTGTGTGTGCGCGTGTGTGTGTGTTTGGCGGGAGCAAGTTTGCACTTCTGTAAAAGAACCCCCCCCCACACACACACACACACACACACACACACACATACACACACATACACGCACATACACACACACACACACACACACGCGCACAAACCATTGACATGTCTCATGTCGACAGCTTGCTGCAGTGTGAAGTGACGGAGTGATTTGATTTCATTGTCTGACTTAATATATGACTCAAAATATTTACCCAGACTTTATCCTGACTTTTTTACTAACATACAATTGATATTTTTGTTAAAATTAAAAAAAAAAAAAAAAAAAAAAAAAAAACTGGATTTGAACAAAAGCAATTGCTTTATCATGTCAAATAATAATGTAACACATGACATGAAAGCTGTAACAGATACATTAAACCAAAATAAAATTTCTATGAAATAAATTAAAAGTTCAGACAAGGAGGTGGATCAACTATCTTTACATTATTTGGTATTCTGTTTCATAAATACTCGCGTTTCCCCGAGGGGAGATCAATTCAACCAAGATG